GCCAAATTTGATCGAAATCGGTTCAGATATAGCTATAGCTCCCATATATATTGTTCATCCGATTTGTTATTTTTGTCCTCCGCCGCCGTAATATGCACTCTGCAACAACAATATTTGGGGAAATATATCAAATACAGCTCAGAAATACGTTTGCTAAATTTTATCGAGATCGGTTCGGATTTGGATATATCTCCCATATATAACTTCGTCCGATTAACTTTTTATTGTTCACCAAAATTCTAATATTTGCCCAAATGGGATGAAATTTGGCACATGCGACCGAATTGATTCTAGAAGCTAATATGTCAAATTTCGTGAAGATCAGTTTAGATATAGCTATAGTTCCCATACATATTGTTCAACCGATTTGTTATATATGTTACCCACAGCCGTAATATGCACTCCGTAACAACGATATTCAAGGAAAAATATATCAAATAAAGCTCAGAAATATCTTTACCAAATTTTATCGAGATCGGTTCCGATTTGGATATAGCTCCCATATATATCTTTATCCGATTTCAAATTAATTGTGCACCAAATGGGTAATACAAGTCCGAATTTAAAAGATACAAATGCTTCGGAATATTTAGTCCTTTAAACTTTAAATTATAATCATAGCGTGTATTATTGAATTCTCCCATAAAAACTTTTAATTGTTATGCGCAGCTCCACTAAATTAGCAAAGTGGTGTAGGGTATCATAAAGTCGGCCCCGACCGACTTTAAGACTTTCTTTACTGGTTTTTGGTTAAGGTAATTACACGTGTATTTTTGATGGGAGGGGTTGTGAAATTAATCAAGTAATGAAAAGGTTTTAAGGTAAAATTTTATTTGTTTAACCTGATACTTGGATATAAATAGGAGTATATCTTAATATGAGTTGGATAATCTAATTATTCAAAAGAAAGTATTTTAGTTACAAACATTGTGGGAGTATCTTTTCGTGTGAAAAGACAATAAATTTCAATAAATATTTGGTCATAGTTCCTGAAATTTTATTAGGACTCTCTGATTGTTTTTTTTTTTTTTACCCTACAACACTATGTGTTGGGGGTATTATAGGATTGATTGGACCAAAAAATATGTAACAGGAAAAGAAAGTATATATGGATCTTCCTATCTCGCCGAGCTGAGTCGATCTAGCTATGTATGTCCGTCCGTCCATCTGTCCATGTTAATTTGTAATCACTCTACAGGTCGCAATTATGGCCCGATCTTCACGAAATTTAGAATGGAGGTGGGGTTTGGGCCAGAATAGAACCCTATTGCTTTTGGAGATGATCCCTAATATTTAGGGGTTGAAATGGACCAAATATTGAAATTTTTCCTGATTTTGCAGCCGTTATAAGGTCGCAAATAGAAACCAAAGGACACGAAATCTCGCATGTAGTGAGGGTTTAGGACAGCGGGTAGAATGGGCCACTACTTTTGTGTGCAAAAAATACTAACATTACGTACAATTGATATCCGAAATACACCAAAGGCGAACTTCTGCCTTTTTTATGCTGATTTCGTTGAAGAATAAATCCAAATATCGTAGTCAAGCAAATCATGTATGTGGGTCTAAATTTGTAGATGCAGAGCGGCTTCTTGCTTTTGGAGATGATCGCAAATTATTAAGGGGCTCAAATGAACCAAAAACAGAAAAAAAAACCTGATCACACAATTGAAGCCAATCGACATGCCTGAGAAGAGAATTGAGGATAGGGAAGAATTCTAGCTTTTTGGATGACCATTGGATTATATTTAGCTGTAAAATGGACCACAACGACTAACAGCACGACGGAGTGCGCAAATGTCCCTGGTCAAAATGCTAAGGGCAGTATCTGGGCAGTGCTAAATGACAAAATTTCAAAAGCGAAATCTTCCAAAATTGACTTGAAAATAAGGGTACTTCTAATATATTATAGTGTTGTAGGGTCACATGGTCGGCTCCGCACGACTATAGCCTTTGCTTACTTGTTTTTTTAAATGGGGTGGGTCTTTTTTGTGAACGTTTAAGGAATTTATAAGCCTATTAAAGCTAGTGCTACATAGAATTTAAAAACGGCCTAAGGCTAAGGACCCACAAAATTGTAGCAGACACAAACATTAGTTAAATTTCAATCATTTTTCACAATAAAAATTGGCCACCACTATATCTAAAAACCAACAGTGAGTGACCTTAACATCAAAGTTCACGATTCAAGCTCTATCCATTCACTCAACCGCAAATTTAGTACAATTTTCGAAAAATCATATTACGCATTTCCATATCTCAACCTTAGATTTTAATAGTGACCTTATTATCAAATTTCACGATTTCAGATCTGTAATTTCCCCTATTGCCAAATTTAGTACCATTTAGTACAATTATAGCACAGCTCATCCAAAACCAGTTCCTTCTCTCGACCATAGATACCGACAGCGATATCCCCCAATACCAAATTTACTACTTTTTTATACACATTTCAAAGCAATCTCAGATACCAACAGGGACCTCAATATGAAATTTTTGGGATTCCGGCTGTACACCTTCACGAAACATCAAATTTTGTACTATTATGAACTTTTTGTGCAAATATGGAACGCATTTCGACAGCACTGCGAAATCTCAAAACACAGATATCGACAGGGATGTAAACATCATATTTCGGAATTGTACCTCTGTCCCTTCACCCAATAAGAAATGTAGTACCGTTTAGTACTTTTCGTACAATTTTAGTACACCTTTCCGATATCACCTCTATATGTCCAGGCTATACATGAACAGCGACCATAATACTAAATTTCAGATGTCAAGCACTCTCGGTTCACCCAATATCAAATTGCACCAATTACAGTACTATTTTGTACTTTTCGTTTATTTGTAGTACCAAGTAGTGAAACAACTGACTGACTGAGTATCAATGGCCAGACGAAATGACTGAAGCTAGAATCTTGAATTTTTGTACGAGGGTCAGTCTTGGTGCGTAGGCGTGTGATAAGGCTGGGTTTTTTTAAATCCGTACAAAAAGTACTAAAATGTATTAACAGTAGAAGACTTTGTTTTAGACAAAACGGAATGAGCTAGCATTCTAAAATTTGGAATGAGAGTCACTGATTGAGTGCAGAATAGAAGTACCAAAGGGTTTTTGAAAATTCGAACTTTAAGATTATGGAAAGTTCTAAAATGTTACCATTTGGTATTATATTCAATTCAATATGGAGGTCCCTGTTGGTATCTGGAATTCAGATATGGAGGTGGTTTTGGAAATGTGTGCAATAATTTTACGAAATAAACAAAATGGTACTAAATTTAGTATTGGATGAAGGAATAGGGCTGAAATCCTAAACTTTATATTGAGGTATCTGTTGGTATCTAGAATTGTGATATGGAGCAGTTTTTGGAAACGTGTACTAAATGTACTGAATTATACTAAATGTGGAATTGGACTGAAATTTGAAGCTGAACTCTTTAAAATTGAAATGGATGTCATTGTTGTTGTTTGTGCTTAATATATGGAGGTGGTTTTGTAAAGGTGTACTATAATTACACGAAAAGGTGTAAAGGTGTACTATAATTACACGAAAAGTTTTAAGTGGTACTAAATTAGATATTGGGTGAAGGGATAGGACTGGAATCCCGAAATGTGATATTAATGTCACGGTTACTCTCTGTGGTTAAGATATGGTTTGGTTTTGAAAATGAGTACTAAAACTATATGAAGAGTACTAAATGTTACTAAATTAGGTATTGAGTGAATGTATAGAGCTTGAATCCTGAATTTCATATTGAGGTCTCTATTTGTATATAGTTTAAAGATCTAGGTGTGGTCTGGTATTGCATACTACAATTGTTCAAAATGTACTAAATGGTACTAATTTTGCATCACTGTTGGTAACTAAAACATGTTATCAAACTAAACAAAGTGTGAATTTTGAGGAATAAAAATCCGAATCCGTATTGTTGGAACGAATCTAAAATTTGAAGGTGTACTTTTCACCGACGAAGTTGGGTACCAATATTTAATATTTTTTCGAAATCAAAATTTTGATATTTAGCTTACCTTGTTCCACTTTTTTTTTAATTTTTGTTGTTAAATAAAAACACCCGTATTTAATATTAAATTTAGTGCTTAAATTTATATTTTTTAAATATTTATTTAATAAAATATTTTATTTTTTTTAACATACATATACAAGGAATTACACATACATACATATTTGAAGGATCTTTTTTTGCATTTTTTAAGATATGAATGAACTTCATTTAATCAATATTTTTTAAATTTGTCTTTAATTTTTTAATAGTTTGAGATTGCTAGCCATCCCTGGACTTTTAACTTGAATTTTAACTTTTAAAAAAAAAATTAAATAAAAATTTGCAAAAATTTCATGAATATTATTATTTAAGTGTTATTCAGGAAGGAGTTCAAATTACAACATTGTTGTTATAGAAAATGAAAAAAATGCAGATTTTAAAAATATCAACAAAGGAACATGAGTTTTATCAACAATCCCAGAATATTTATAAATCGGAAGATTCGAGGAAAAAATACAATTTATTATCAAAATAAAAAAACAAATCTAAAAAGATTTCAGAATATTTAAATTTATGTGTTTTTTAGTTGTTATCATTAATTTAACAAACTAAAATTAATAGGAAAATAATAATAATTAAAAACTAATAATAATTATTAAAATAATTATTAAAATAATTAAATACAATTAGTAATAATAAGAATATTGCCGTGCATTGAAAAATAAAATAAAACAATAACTAACATAAATTGATTAAAGCTTTAAATTATATAATATTTCTACACCATGCCGACAATTATATGCGAAGTTTTTTTAATGGGACTAATTGTTTTAAATTAGTAATGCTTGCCTTATTTTGTATAAAATTTGCAATAATATAAGTTTTAAATTAATTTTCTTATCCGAAAGAATGTTGTCATAAATTATGTAATATTTTGAATTTAAAAGCAATATTCCTTAAAACTTTCGAAAATTTCTATTTCCAATATTTCCTACGTTTACCATTTTGAAGTTGTTTCAAACTTCCACTTTTTTCACAGAATCTTACTTATATTTTTATATGAATTAAAATGAGGAATTCATGGTTATGAAAAATGGGGCTGATATAAAAATCTAACATAACAGCCTGCTATCGACATCCTTTTCATCAGAAATCTGGAAAGGAAAGAACAAATAACAAAGAGATTAATAATATTATTTGTTATTTTTGTATTAATAAATATTCGGATATATAATACGGAATAGGAGATGATGCAGGTATATGTAGGGGTCTTACAAACCTACTTTGGTGGTCAAAAAAATATTTTTAAATAATTTTTGTATTAATAAAAAAATCAGATATATAAAATAAATAAGGAGATGATGAAGGTATGTGCTAATTTGGTGCGTAAAAAATATTTTTCAATAAAAGCAGTGTACGAACTTCTGCACTTTTTCTATGTTTGAAGAAGTGACCTGAATATAACATTTCTAGCAAGGAGAAAAAAGACATGCCGAGAACCCCAATTGTCAAGATTCAGCTGATTTGGTTGAAAATTATGGCAGAAACCTCAAAAATACCAAAAATCTGAGGGTACCGTTATGTGGGGGCTATGCAAATTAGGGGACCTATAGCGAATATTTTTTGCAGGAGGAGAACAGCCCTCAAAAGAAGAATCTGAAGTGTCAATTTTTAACTAATTTGGTTGGAAATTGTGGCAGAAACCTTTAAAATACAGGAGGTACCGTTCTATGGATGCTACACCATTTTGTGGATCTGCATCGAACATATTTTACCAGGAGAGAACTGACCTTTCAAGAACCAACTTTTTCAATTTTCTGCTGATTTTGTTGGAAATTATGGCAGAGACCTTCAAAATATCGAAAATCTGGACGTACAGTTATATGAGGGCTATACCAATTTGTGGACCTGTAGCGAACAATTTTTGCTAAGAGAAAACAGAGCATCCGAGAATACCAATTGTCAAGTTTCAGCTAATTTGGTTGGAAATTATAGCGGAAACCTAAAAAATATCGAAAATCGGTAGTTGCCGTCATATGGGCGCTATGCCAATTAGTGGACCTGTAAGGAATATTTTTTGCAGATGGAGGCCAGACCTATCGAGAACCCCAATTGACAAGTTTCATATAATTTGGTTGGAAATTGTGGAAGAAATCCCAAAAATACTGAGAACCGGAAGGTACCGTTACATTGGTGCTATACCAATGTGTGGACCTAAATCGAAAATTTTTGGCTAGGAGAGAACCGAGAACCCCAATTTGTAAGTTTCATCTAATCTAGTTGGAAATTGTAGCAGAATCCTTCAAAATTCCGAAAATCGGGTTACATGGCGGCTATACCTAAACGTGGACCAGTGTAGCCAATTTTCAATACCAATCAGCCTGCATATAATATAAATCTTCTTTCAAAGCTCTGGATTAAGTAATGGAATGGAGTAGTCTAAAATTCTACACAAGGAGTTCCTTGCGAGTACTTTATCCCCTGGAAGAGATTTGTTTATATAAGTCCACGATATCATATATTCTCTATATAACGGTTCCTCCCGATCTTCGGTATTTTGATGATTGTAGCCATATTTTTCAACCGAATTGTCTGAAAATCTTCACAAGGAGTTCCTTGTGAGTACTTTATTCCCTAGATGGGAATTGTCTACATTGGTACATGATATCGTATACCTCCCATATAATGGTACGCCCCGATATTCGGCATTTTAATTAATTCAGTCAAATTTTTTAATGGAATTGTTTTAAAAACCATACTAGGGGTTCCTTCTGTGTACCACTGGATTAAGTAATGTGAATTGACGGTATCGCCATTTCAACAGACGGATATCGCTTAATCGCCTGATCAGGAATTTTGGGGTCTCCGACAAATAGTTCGAGGTGTTGCAAACGAAATGAAAAATTCAATATACCCATTGTATGCTGGAGGGCATAAAAAATAGTTAGGGATTTTTGCTCTTTACTTTGTCCCTATTAAACTACATACTCCTTGCATTACCCGTAAGCAGAAAATAATGATTTTTTTCTATAAATTTTTCAAGGCAAAAAAAAGTCTCCACAAAAATTTCACTCTCCAAAGCCAAATAAATCAATCAATAAAATTGCGTTCCCCAAGTCTCCAGGAAAACTGCGCATGTTGGTTTTATGGCAATTTGTCTCTTCTCTTTTACAAGCCAAAAAAAAAAATTCAGCAAAACAGAAAAGAAATAAAACCCAAAACTAAACTAACCTTCGCGCGACAAGAGACGAACCACAAAAGAAAAAAAATGTCTCCAAATAGACGCCATTAATAAATAAATTTACGTGGCTTCATTGCAATGCCTCCTCCATCACCAACAACACCATCACCACAATTTCACTCCAATCGCAACAAATCACAATGCCATGGGGATTGGCTACGGGCATGCACGTGTTCCAATTTCAAAATAACCTCATGTGGTTATTTGTTATTTTGTATATTTTGCTGTTGTTTTTTTAATTTTATTTTTCAGTTATTTTTTATTTTTTTTTTTTTTGGTTTGGTTTTTTATTTTCTATTTATTAATGCGGTTGAATGCCAGTGTGAGTGTGGGATTTTTCCCCCCTCAGCTGTGTTTCATTTGTTTGTTAATCAGCAGTTTTGTTTTGCATTTAAATACCCGCAAAGCTAGAGATGATGAGCTGCTGGTACGAGTATTATTTTCGCCTTTTCTCAATGACTGGGATGTTATTTCTCGTTTTCTTTATTTTTTTTCCTTTTGGAAAACAAATTACTCTGTTAAAAGAAAAGAAAACAATCTACAAAGTTCTTAAGGCATGGCGCTTAACTGAAAATCGTTGTGAAATATTCTCAATGAATTCGAAATTAAGCAAATGAATATTGCGACTAGTCGAATTGAAAGAAATTGTTTTGAAATGTCAAACTTTGCCGATAAGAAATGTTTGGGTTTCGAAATTGTGACGTAAAAATAAAATTGCAAGGGTATTACTGGGTCAATATAAACCGTAAATATTGGAATATTGTTTTGAATGGTAATTTGATACTTAAAACGAAATATAATAAACACCCTGGACCCACGTGCAAAAATAGAATTTTTTATTGGCAAATTTGTAATAAGGTCTTAAAATAGTCAAAAAATTTGAACCCTTTTAGAAATCTTGCCCAAAATATTTACAATATTATTTTTTATACCATCCACAAAAAAATCGCTATAGCGATTTTAGCCTCCAACATTCTATGGAGGGTATATTAGCTTTGACATTCCCTTCGTATCTCCTCGAAATACTTATTATAGACCCTACAAAATATATACAGGGTGAGATGAAAAAATTGCAACCAACTTCAGATTGCTGTCCCTTCTAAGACACTCTTTTTTAAGAATTTTCCACAAAAATAAGTTATTCGTGATGGATTTCAAGCGTGATAGTGTGATTTATTTATATTTGGCTGGAAAACCACAAGTGGCTATCGTTAGAAGACAGACTCAAAAGAGCTAAAGAGTTGCTTCGCTTGGCCGAAAGTGGTGAACTGCCGAATTTGGTTTTCTCCGAAGAGAAAACATTCATTGTCCAGCAGTTTGTAAGCAAACAACAGAGAGCTACATTCGGGCAGCGTGTGACGGTTTCATTGGCCGTTTGAAGGCCATAATTCGTGCCAAAGGTGACCAATTCGAACAAATCTAAACTTTTTCTACAATTTGATGCTATGTCCGACATTTTTTGCTTACATTCAATAAAATAAAAAAAATTGAATTTGCTGCAGTTTTTTATCTTACCCTGTATATTCTTGATCAGCGTAAAATTACGCTGCAGTACAGAAGCTAAGATTTTGCACAGAACTGTTTTTTGTCTGCAGGCGGATCGAAGATGGGCTATATCGGTCTACGACATCGTATATCCCCCATATAACGGTTCCGCCCGATATTCGGTATTTTGATGATATTAGCCACATTTTCCAACTGAGAAGGAGTTCCTTGTGAGTACTGTATTCCCTTGTTGGAATTGTCTATATGAGTCCACGATATCGTATACCTCCCATTTAACAGTACCCTCCATATTCGTTATTTTGCTGATTTCAGCTAAATTTTTTTAATGGAATTGTTTAAAATCCACACTGTGGGTTGCTTTTGAGTACTTTACTCCCTAGAAGAGAATTGTCTAAATAGGTCCACGTTTTAGTATGGAGCCCATATAACGGTATCCCCAGGCCTTCAGCCACATAAACGAATGGATTGCGTCGGAAGACTCCCTATAGAGACTCCCTGGCCACCAGCTGGTCTATTAAGACTCACAGGCCACCAGCTGGTCTATTAAGACTCCCAGGCCACCAGCTCGTCTATAAAGACTCCCAGGCCACCAGCTCGTCTATAAAGACTCCAAGGCCACCAGTTCGTCTATAAAGACTTACTGGCCACCAGTTCGTCTATAAAGACTCCCTGGCCACCAGCTCGTCTATAAAGACTCCCTGGCCACCAGCTCGTCTATAAAGACTCCCTGGCCACCAGCTCGTCTATAAAGACTCCCTGGCCACCAGCTCGGCTATAAAGACTCCCTGGCCACCAGCTAGTCTATAAAGACTCCCTGGCCACCAGCTCGTCTATAAAGACTCCCTGGCCACCAGCTCGTCTATAAAGACTCCCTGGCCACCAGGTCGTCTATAGAGACTCCCTGGCCACCAGCTCGTCTATAAAGACTCCCTGGCCACCAGCTGGTCTACAAAGACTCGCAGGCCACCAGCTCGTCTATAAAGACTCCCTAGCCACCAGCTCGTCTATAAAGACTCCCTAGCCACCAGCTCGTCTATAAAGACTCCCTGGCCACCAGCTCGTCTATAAAGACTCCCTGGCCACCAGCTCGTCTATAGAGACTCCCTGGCCACCAGCTGGTCTATAAAGACTCCCAGGCCACCAGCTCGTCTATAAAGACTCCCAGGCCACCAGCTCGTCTATAAAGACTCCCTGGCCACCAGCTCGTCTATAAAGACTCCCTGGCCACCAGCTCGTCTATAGAGACTCCCTGGCCACCAGTTCGTCTATAGAGACTCCCTGGCCACCAGCTTGTCTATAGAGACTCCCTGGCCACCAGCTCGTCTATAGAGACTCCCTGGCCAGCAGCTCGTCTATAGAGACTCCCTGGCCACCAGCTCGTCTATAGAGACTCCCTGGCCACCAGCT